TAATGTTTACCTCTGGATGGTGTTATTAAATTATAATATTTCTTTCAGGAACTCAGATCAGCTTAATGATAAACAAGTGCTTATATAAATTCACTGCTGTTGAGTTGGATCCAACTCATTGCGACCCTTCCTTGGGTTTCTGAGGAGGTAACTCTACAGAAGTAGAATGCCCAATCTTCATTCCAAGTGATGTAAGTTAGAAAGTCCTACTTTTACAAAGAATTAATGAAAAGAAATCCATTTGGACCTAGATTCCTGCACTGGACCTCGTTAGCAGAGAGATGGCAGAGATGACTGGCAGAGATGACCAGCAGAGAGATGATAGCAGTGCAACCAAGAGCCATGAGACAGAGTGGTGGGCTTGGTGGCCCACAGAGTCAGAAAGCTGAGTGTCTTTGGGTAGAAGCCTTGTTGGTGGAGTGCGGTGCACCTAAGTGCACCTACTGGCAGAACTAAAAGAGCTTTGTAACACTTGTCCAAGCAGGGCAGAGGCCTGGGCCAAAGAGAGGCATGCTTAAGGGCATGGCTGAGGGAAAACTGTCCTGATTGAAGAGTTATTTCCTAAACTTGAATTGTCGCCTAATAAACCCCACAATCATGAGTATTTTCTGTGAGCTCTGTGTGGCCATTGCAATGAATTATCAAACCCACCAGAGAAGTAGTGAGTGTCGTGGGAGGGACAGTTGGTGTCAGAATAGGGAAAAAGGTTGAAGGATGGTGGCATGTCTGGCCTCATAGGAATAAACCTTGGGCTGCTGATCGTGTTTGTTTCCTCTTGATGGTGATTGTTTCCTCCTGATGAGATTGGAGGAGGCCAAAGGAAGATGCTACTTCCATGCCCTATATGCACCAGGAAAATAGTAAAAGGGGATGAAATCTCTTATCTTCTGTCTTTCAAGATACCTAACCCAATTTAAAAGGTTGGGATGACTAATTCTTTTTTTTTTTTTTTTTCTTTATTGTGATTTGGGTGAAAGTTTACAGAGCAAATTCACTTTCCATACAGCAGTTCACATACACTTTGTCTCAAGACATTGACTATAATTTACCCCAATATAACAACACCCCTCCTGATAGTTACCTCTTCCCTGTGTCCATCCCCATGCACTCCTGCCCTCTGAGCTATCTCCCTGCACATAAACAGCCCTTCTTTCTCCCATGATTGTTCTCTGCAGGAGTGTATCTACCTCGGGTAAATGTTCAACTCATATGCCTGTCTCTTGTTTGGCTGAAAGCCACAGGTGTGGGTTCAATTCCAGACATGAAGGGCAGCTAGGGGCCATAGTCCCAGTGGTTCCACCAGGCTCTATCAGACCAGAAAACCTGGTCCCCCCACCTCTTTTTTCCCAAATGATTTTGAGTTTTGTTCTATATTGGTCTCCCTTTCTATCCAAGATCTCCTACATAGATCCCCCTCCAAATAGATCCCCCTCCAAATGGTTGACAATGGTAGCTGGGCACCAGTGGTTCTTCTGGTCTCATAGTCATATAGACAGGATTGCATGGTGTACCAGTTGCTTGGACTAATTGTTTCCATGAATCTTTGGTTTTCTTCATTCTTCTTTTCTCTGGATGAGGAGAGACCCATCATTGCATCTAGATGACTGCTTGCAAGCTTTTAAGATCCCAGTTGTTACTCGCCAAAGTAGGAGGTGGAACAATGTTTTGTGTGTAGTATGTTATGCCAATTGAGCTTGATGTCCCCTATGACTATGGTCCCAAGCCCACAGGTTCAACTACTTGCTCCCTCTGGGTAGCTGGCTGTGGCCAAAAGTGACTACAACCTTTCCCTTTTCAGCAATATTATATACCTGGGAATTCTTATAGAACATGCAAATATACTTGTATAACCATTGGGAATGACTAATTCTTATTTTTGAATATGAACCAAGAAACTGAAGGCAAGGCAGAATTCAGGTCTCTATCCCCCAGCCTCTGAGACCATGTAGCTCCAGGGAAGCTTTTGCTTTTGAAAGACCCCTCCAAAAGTAGGTGAAGCTGTTGTTGTTGTTGTTGTTACTGTGTGCTGTCGAGTCGGACCCAACTCATAGCGACCTCTCCTTGGGTTTCCAAGGCACTATCACTACAAGCTAGATTGCCCAACCTTCCTTCTGATGAGTGGCTGGTGGGTCTTCACCTTTTAAAAAAAAGTAAATTCTTACTACAGTTATCAGAGATTGAGTGGGTCCCTATCATAAATGATTTTTCCTGCTTATAAAGGAAAAATAGTAAAAGAAAAAAGTTCATTTAATATGTTATAAATCACATTAAATGTGTTGTCAAATCGAGAGAAGTGCCTGATTCCCTTTTGGGTTGAAATTTTATATTTGTGTGTTTCCTCTTACGTTTTTGCCTCAACTTAATTTTATTTAAGAAGCTCTAGTGGCGTAGTACCTAAGGCATTTGACTGCTAAACAGAAGGCTGGCGGTTCAAACCCACAGCCACTCCTCAGAAGGAAGACTCGGCAATCTACTTCCATAGAGATACTGCCTCGGAAACCCAAGGAGGGGTTGCTATGAGTTGGGACCGACTGGACAGCAGTGAATTTTTTTGTTTGTTTTATTTAAAACTAGCATCATCAAAACCAATGGTTTAAAGGAGAATTTATATTATTTGCACATGGACTTTTTTTTTCAATTATTATTATTACTAGTCAGATGTCTAGAAATGTAATAATCTTAGTATCTCAAGATTATGTGTTATATATGAAGCTCTTTGAAAATAAGATTTATCATTATGAGAAATTTCTGTCTAAAATTTTTGAACTGACTTTATTTGGCTTTACATTACTTTGGTAACTATTTCCTGTAAGGTTTTCACTTTGAAACACTTGATAAAACTCTCTCATCAAAAAGATGAACAATATTGGGCTTATGAAAAGGTCTATGATAATTTGAACGTGGATCCTACTATACTGAATCAAAATGTCCAGAACTCTGGTGTAGAAGGTGATGGATTCACAGATCACGGCTGATCACATGGAACAAAAATTAACCACATAGGACTGAGTGGACTAAAGGATTACTAGGTTCTTATGTGGGAATATTGCTGATGTTTCAAGGTTCTATTTTCTGGCTATAAGAAACCATTTTCCCCCTTTCCCTCAAATTAACTAATGGGTGGAGATACTGTAACTATCAGAAGTTTTTATTGGTAATCTCAACAAAGTTGTAAACACCATAACCAGAGAAGTGTCTGAAGTTCAAGCTACAATTTTATAAAATAGATTGGCATTAGATTTCCTGCTAAGTCTCCAGGAACAGTTTTGTGCCTTAATAGAGGAGTGTTGCTGAGTTTAAAATATGCAATCTGAGGTTTTGCAGAATGTCATTGTACCTGAAGCACATGCAAGCAGATATATATATAAACAAATGCATGATGGAACTTGTTTCCCTCATACAAAGACCTTAGAGTCATGATTTCATGGGTTATTTAAGACAATTGGTCAAATACTGTTAATGTTTCTGAACTATGTCCTAGTTTGCTGTACAGATTTCTGGCTTTCACAGAACTCAGGGTAACCCACACAGACCATTGCCTTTAGGTGTCCTTTTGAACCCTGAAAAATATGGTGCCTAAAAGCCACTTTTCAGTCAAACATGGTCTAGATAAACTAGTAAGACCATTTTGCTCTGGGCATTGTGCTCTTTTGAAGAATTCAGTCTGCTTTGCCAAAAAGATTCCAAAGATCAGACTGATAGCTATGTTTAGGGTAAATAATTATTTTAATTGGTCTTCAGGGCAATGTTATATGAAACACATCTAATGCTTGTAATCAAACTGCCATTCACCTTGCTATGAAGAAAATTGTGTACCTTGAAACTAGGTCCTCACAGATTGACCTGACATTGAATTAGTCTTTTGGGAGATCAAATAGTTCAACAATGTGGCCTTGCCTTGCACTAATCCTAACTTAAAACCATTGAAGCAGGATGTCTCAGTGGAAGAAGATACTCTTAAAATGATTGAAAAGTTTCTAGGGAAATTCATGATCAGAAGAGAAGAAAATGTGTGAGGCCATCATAAAACTGAGGCATTTGGCTTAATGAAAATGGTTGACACAAAGTTTGGCTCAGACTCCCTTTTACATTAGGCTCCACTTGCATTTCTGAGAAAGTGAACTATGACTGTTGGTGAGTAAACAAGGGAAGGGCAGGTTGCACTGGCAGAACACTTCTTGTTGTTATGTGCCGTGGAGTCGGACCCTACTCATAGCGACTGGGTTGCGGAGGCAGTATCACTACGGACGTAGATTGCCCAACCTTCTTTCTACTTACTATATTTTAAATAGATTAAGGAAAGAACCACAACAGGAGGGATCCATCCTGAGAGGGGCTGTGTCTAAGAAGCTCCTATACAGGTTTCTATAACCATTCCATAGCCTTGGAAAACTACTTTCTTCCCTCTTTTCTTTTTTAATTTGTGATTTGGGAGAAAGTTTATAGAGCAAATCCCATTCAACAATTCATACACATTTTGTTTTGTGACAATTTTTGTAATTCCCACGATGCAACAGCACTCTTCCACTTCATCTCTGTGTTTACCATTTCCGTCCATCCCTTTTTCCTATCCTTTCCTGCTTTCTTAGCTTTATCCTTAGACAAATGTTACCCTTTTGATCTATAGTCATTGTTCTAATGAGTGCATACTTTCCTGTTATTATTGTTCATCTGATAAGCCGTGTTTACCACATCACTCTTATTTGCAATTTGCCGGGGTCTGACTGGCGCAACAAAGCGCAGTACCCGGAAGGAAGGAGAACCGCGCAGGCAGGTAGCCGACCAAAAGAGTTGAGGCCGGTTGACCTACACCATTTAAAAACTCTCAACCAGGAGAGGGGTGTGGCGGGCGGGGGCGGTGCCTGCCACCATATCCGGACTTGGTCGTCGCGCGCGTGCCCGCACCCCTGGTTCAGGCGGCGTGCGCGTGGAAGGAACGGCGGCTTCAGTAGGGGCGGAGCAGTGGCTGTAGCTGCTAACCCACGCTGTAAACAGGTAATATGGCGGCTGTGGCGGCGATAGTGTCTGGGGCTTTGGGGGCCATGCAGACAGGTCGTGCGCGCTTGGTCGCCTGTTGGTGTGCACAGCTTGGCCTGGGACTGGGATTTTCGGCCTCGGCAACAAGCCTGCGGGCCGGACTGACGATGTGGGCCAACGGCTGGGCACCCGTGGCCGGGTGCGCTGCCCCGAGGAGAGGTTACAGTTCTGAGGTGAAGGCAGAGGACGAGCTGCGGGTGCGGTACTTGGAGGAGGAAAATAGAGGTGAGATGCCGGGTGGGGACGCGAAGGGGGCTGTCTCTCGGAACGTGGGCTGCTGCATGGGGCTTGAGACACCGGGGGTGGAGTGGATGGCGCCCGAGCACCTTGTAATCCTAAGAACGGGCGTTGGGGACAATTTTGGTGGGGTAGTCGAGAAGGTCTGTGGTGTCTGGATTTACGTCAGTGTCCGCTCACCCGACACGAGGTCTGAGTCAGTCGGGTTCGCTGAGCCCAAGGCCCTTCCTGTACCTCCCAGCGTGGACATTTTCAATATACACCTTAGTACTTTTAATATTTAAATGTGTATAGGGAGCATCTTACACGTAAAGTGGACATACTGAGCACCGATAAATAACTGCAATATACGCTGTCTAGACGAGCCAAAGTAATTTTATTTTTGCTACCAGGTTTTGCTCTTGTGTAATTGCCTCTGTCAGTCAGTGGTGATGTACAAAGCTGAGTTGTGAATGTACTTCATTATTCTGAAAACCTAATGAAATTTGAATCTTGTTCAGCTGCAGCACTTTTTTTCTCTTGACCATTTTAGCATAGAAAGTTAGGTATTGGGGAATATTCAGTTAACACAGTTCAGAGCACTTTTTGTCTTCCACTTGCTATGCTGCATCTGAGGCTTGCTATTCTATATCTGAGGACATAAATGTGAATGATAATTGGTCTTGCCTTTGAGCTCCCTACAGTGGGAAGAGACACAGATGCATAACCATTACGTTACAGTGGGAGGGAGGGCTATGAAAGAAGGTAAGAGTGGGAGGGAGGGCTATGAAAGAAGGTAAGATTTGGAGAGAGTACTGATGAAGAGTTCCCTTCATTTGCAGTGAGGAAAGCTAATTGGATACTGAAGGGTGGCATAGCATTTTACCAGGGAGTAAGTCACAGGGCCAGTCATGTAAGTCGGGCAAGCAATTATTGAACACCTGTAATCTGTTAAGCAGAAGGCAAAAGAGTAAGTCACTATTCCTATCTTTAAGGAGGTCAGTGTAGGAGGAGGAAAATACTAGTGACAAATAAAAAAAGAAAAAAAAAAAAAACCACCTCACTGCTGTCCAATCGATTCCGATTCATGGCAACCCATCCTTGGGTTTCCCAGGCGGTATCTCTACGGAAGTAGATTACCCAACCTTCCTTCCAAGGAGTGGCTGGTAGGTTTGAACCGCCAGCCTTCTGGTTGGCAGTCAAATGCCTTAGGCACTACGCCACCAGAGCTCCCTTTTGTTTGGTTTTGGTATCTGTATGGAAGTAGATTGTCCGGTCTTTCTTCCGAGAAAATTGTTGTTGTTATGTGCCGTTGAGTTGGACCGACTCATAGTGACCCCTCCTTGAGTTGCTGAGGCAGTATCACTAGGGAAGTAGATTGCCTAACCTTCCTTTTGAGGAGTGGCTGGTGGGTTTGAACTGCCAGCCTCCTGGTTAGCAGTCAAGTGCCTTATAGGCTATGTTAACTTCAAAGTTCAGTAAGAATTGTAATTGCCCCCTCTCCTCCACCAGAAGTATATGGTCATTTACATTTGGGGAGGTTGGAAGAAAGGAGATTTAAGTTAAGCTATCTCCAGATGAGACAGATGTCAGAGGCATTCCTTAATAGGCAGTGGAATTTGACAGTGAGGATTCTTGGAGCCTTTGTGCTTCAACATTCATATGTGTAAAATAGGAAAAATGATACTTTATAGGGTTGCTGTGAAGACTAGGTGAAACTGTTATAATGTAAATTGCCCATTAAGTATCTAGCTCATAGTAGGTGCTCAGGAGTATGAAGTCATTTCATTCCTTACTATTTATTATTCCAGAGAGAGACAAGAGCATGGTCAAAGGCACGGAGATGTGAACGTGTGTGGTGTATTTGGGAAACAACATGTAAGGCATGTGTAGCTGTAGTACTGCAAAATACTGAAAAATTCTTCTTTAATGGTAGGTTGGCAGTGGAGTGAGTGGTACTGTCTTTATAAATTTAGCAGAATGAAATTTCAGTTACATTAGGTGACCTAACAGTACATTAGATACAAAGGAATTACAACTATGGCTAGTATTATGCACCATGTTTTGTATATATTTTTTTGACTTTATGGTATAAATAAATGCAAATTGAAGGTAAATTTGTACAAAATGCCTATGAAGTCCATAAGTTAGGATCGTAATGGATCAAAAGACAAGAAATCAGCACATAGAAAAAAATTTAACTCAAATATTATCACAGGTAAAAATCAGCTATTTAGACACCATGGGTTCTTAAAAATTGAGTGAGCCTTCTTTGGGGATTGGCAGGAGTGATTCAGGTTAACATTACCTATGCTTTGTTGTGGAACTACTGACAAGTAGTGCAAAAAAATACCTGAGGTCAAGCTTCTATAGATGAAGGAGGCTCCCTGGTGCCTTTTTGGTTTCTCATAAAGGCGACTCCAAAATTTGGTGGTGTCAGTAGCCTTCAGGGAATGAATATGAGAACTCTTCTGGATTATTGGAATCCCTGACTGCACTCATAACTCTTGTTAGTTGGATAGCTCTTTAGATAGTTGGAGGTGGGCAAGTGCTTAAGAATGTATTAGCCCTTATCTATTGTCTGGGTTCCATATTTGTAATTTGCTGCTGAGGCACAGTTATATGATTTATTTTAGCTTATTATTTCTTGCATTGTTGACCAACCTACTCAGTTTTAGAGCAGCAGACCTACTGTTGGTTTACAAATGTCCCCCTTGTTCTACTGCAACATCATCCTTTGTAGGTCGTCTGGTCTCCAGTCATTCATTCTCCTTGCCAGTTTATTCTTCATCCCTGGTATCAGGGTTGCCTTTTTTTAAAAGCAAAAGAATCACTTCTCTGCTCAGTTAAAAATCTTCAGAGGTTCCCTGTTGCCTGTAGGATCTTCACAGCTATTGGGTCTTCCTAGTTTATCCCATATCCTTTCAGCTGTATCAAAGCTTTTGCCTTTTCCTTCTGTTTATTATGTCTGTTCTTTTGTACTCACTTCATGGAATTACTCTCACCACTATACCTGTCTGATAAGCTTCTACTTATAATTTGACCCATCTTAAAGATCATCTTTGTGAACCATGCCTTAGTAATGAAGTCATCCTTTGTATCTTCCTCATCTCTTTTCCTCATCCTTCACGTCTAGTTTATCATCGAATTTTGTTCAATATCTTTTGATATCTTTCCACTTTCTTCTGTGTTCTTTGCCAACAGCACCCTTGCTTAAACCAGCATCATGGTTTCCTACAAGTGGACTACTGCTTTATACCTAGTTAGTCCTTACTTGCTGACAGTTATTACCCTAACCTTTGGTCATTAATGCAAAAATTGTCATTATGTGAAAATGTAGGATGACCACATCAGATTACAAAATGGGGGATGATGCATCATTGTACAACTGCCAAAGTACATCTTTACATAACTGTCAAACCACTGAGAATCAGGGCCCAGCCAAGTTGACGAACTTTAAACATCACAACAACATCACTCTAGCTTAGAACCTCAGGGTTTTTTTTTACTACCAGATGTACATCATTAATGTGTAAAATGGTCAATATTATGAATTGAGTTGTATCCTCCAAAAATATGTGTCAACTTGACTAGACCATGATTCTCAGTATTAATGTAATTATTCTCCATTTTATGATCTGATTAATTATGCTATGTGTTATAAATCCTCACCTCTGATATTAATGAGGTAGGACTAGAGGCAGTTATGTCAGTGAGGCAGGATATGATCTACAGAATTAGGTTGTATTTTGAGTCAGTCTCTTTTGAGATATGAAAAGGCTTAAACAAACTAGCAGGAAGGAGAAGACCTGCTACCACTAAGAAAGAAGAGCTGGGAACGGAGCATGTCCTTTGGACCCAGAGTCCCTGTATTGGGAACTTTCAAGACCCGTGGGAAGATTGATGCCAAGATACATGGAGCTCTCCGAGATGCTGGGCCCACAAATGTTGAAAGGAGACAAGGATCTTCCTCCTAAACTGTGAGCCTATGGAGAAAGCCTTCCCCTAGAGTTAGTGCTCTGAATTTGGACTTTAGTCTCCTAGACTGTTAGAGAATAAATTTCTGTTTGTTAAAGCCATCCACTTGTGTATTTTTGTTATGGCAGCACTAGATAACTAAGACATTTGGATAGTATATTTTTCACTGGTGTCATAATTGTAAAATGTCAGATAACGAGATAGTTGATAAGTAGATACAGTAGATGTAGTCAGTAACTGGTCTCCTTGCGTCCATTTGCTTTTCCACTTTAACAGGTTGGTTTCTATCATTTATATGTTGTTGTTGTTGTTAAGTGCCGTCAAGTCGTTTCCGACTCATAGCGACCCCATGCACAGCAGAACGAAAC